AAGAAACTTCCTGATGGTAGTTATCTTCCTTAAATCTGCCAGGAGGACTCCGGTTAACCTATGTGAATGTGGGGTGGTACAAGATTCATCACACTTTCTTAGTTGACTTTATCATCCAAATCGGTCTTTTCTGAAGGAAAAGGTTAATTTATTTGAACTAAACATGTAAAGTACAGTCAGTAAGCTATTACTTATAAAGTAAAGATCATTGCAAATTTGACACTATCTCCACTTATATTGATTAAATATTACCCCTAAATACTAGATAAAATATTCAGAAATATGTAATGATCGTGAAGTGATATAATTCTTGTTAGATAAATTAAGCATTCTTCCCTTTTTAGTGCACTACTACCCATTTTAACACAAAAATATCTATTTTAGCACTATATTTCGAGATAACCGTCTATCCAGAATTATATGTAATACACAGATACAACTAGAAATAAAATAATAAAAAAGCTGTATACAAGATATCATAAAACAAGAGATGAAATAAAAGAAGCTTTTATTAAGAGGGTTCTTAAATAAAACGTATAAAGACATACTCACGTTAACAAAATACATTAGGAAATTTCCGCATATGAAACAAAATCCAATTTGGTAATGAAATCATTTTGTATCTATAAAGCTATTTTTAGAGAAGCACGTACCTACCAAAAACAGGTAGTTATTAGTATACATATCTGTTACACACTGTAATGCGTATGAATGATAACAAAAATAAGAAGTCCATATAAACATACTTTATTGAAAGAGGTAAAAGTACACTGCTAAGAAAGTACATTGTATTTCTTATACTTTCATTTGAATCCTCTCCAATCAAGATTTTAAAGCAGCTTCACTCCATTAGTCCATGTTTGTTGCTTTTTGTCACTGTTTCTCCTTTGTCTTTATCATTATCATAACGTAGCGCTACAACACTGGGTGGGTCTTCGCTGACTACAAATTTTCTCCAAGTTGATCGATTTTCCACGAATCTGTAATCAATTGAAATGTTATTTTTTTAGATATGGCATTTTTCTGTGCTAACTTCCTTCCATGCCAGTTTTATAAGTTTGACATCTTGGCGTCTATGCATGTGTCCGATCTACCTTAAGGGATTTATTTTCCGGAACAATATCGTTATAAGAGCTTTCTTTTCAAAGCAAATATTCGTAATTCTTCCTTACTTGTTTTACTCATTGTCCATGATTCGCATCCATGTATTAAAATAGGTCTAAAGTTTGAATTATTCTCTGTATTTTTTAAATGTTTAAATCTGTAAATATTTAAAGTGTTCCATATTTTGGAAATTGTGATTGTTAACTTTAATATTTTATCTAGATTTATTGAATTGGTCTCTTTTGTTGATTCGCTTGTATCTGGCTTTCATTTCGTTGATTTTAAGTGAAAAATTTTTCGTGCTCTCTTCACTTTATTGAAGATGTTTGCGGACGAGAGAGTTTCTTATGAGATCTATATCATTAGCAGGAGTGCTTTGTACCTTGGGCCGGTAATGGATTACGTCTTAAATAGGCGATATTTCTATTTTAGTAGGCTGTTTATTAATTTTTTGACTATTTGAAACGGTCCTGCAAGTGACAACAGTAGGTTCATTTAATTTCGCTTCGAACTTAAAATTATTCGGGAATTACAAGTTAGAAAATTCAACCGAGTTCAAAAATAAGTATCAAAAGTTAAGTGCATACAGGTGATAGTAGTTAATAAAGAAAATACCATCAGACAAGTAAGATAGAACTATTTTAATAATTTTAACAAGTCTTAAGTAAATGAATAATTGAGTGAAAGATTAAAAAGTGGTTTTGGCGAATGTTCGAAGGGTCGACCTGCTTAGGCATTCCTACGCGTTTTTTGTTTTTGTTTTTTTTTGGCAGATTTTTTTTTTTTGGGATTAGAATTAAATTAAATTAAAATAATAAATTAAAAGTAAATGTAATACAATAACTAAATCGAATGAACAGCAAAAGAAATAAGCCAGAACACGATAACTCATTCGACGAGGTGGAAGCCTTCAAAAGAAGCAAAGCCACGTTAAGAACATCTCCAAAGGATAACATAAAAAATCGCGAAATGGAAGAACTAAATAAACTACTAGAAGAAATAAAGAAGGAGATTAAAACGGAAATAAAAGAGCTGAAAACAGAAATAAAGGAAGAAAATAAGGAGATGAGAAGATATATAAATGAAGTTAAAGAAGAGATAAAACAAAATAACGAAGAAATAAAAAGCATAAAACTGGAAATAGAAAGGGTGAATGAAGGAAGAATGGACAAAAGAGAAAGAAGAACTGAAAAGAGAAAACGAACTAACCAAAACCGATAACAAAAAGATAACGGAAGAATTAAATGATCTAAAACGCTCATTAGAAAGGTTAGACAAAGAAAAAAGAATATAATCATCAGTGGATCAAAAATAGACTCTGAAGACCCAAAAACATTGAAAGAAGGAATGACTACTATATTAGAAAATCATCTTGGAGTCAAAACCAATATTAAAAGAGCAACAAAAATAGGAACAAAAACATGCTTAATTGAACTTGAAAGCGAAGAAGAAAAAACAACAATCTTAAGAAACAAATACAAACTTAAGAATGTGAAGATCGAAAAAATATGGATTACAGAGGATCTTACAAAAGGAGAGAGAGAGAAAATGGAAGATTTAAGAGATAAAGCAAGAGAAATGAGGGAAAATGGAAAAATGGTCAAAATAGGATACAATAAAATCACAGTGGACGGCAAGGAATGGAGATGGTGCTATAAAGAAGAAAAGGTGTTGGAAATAAACCGGACAATGATGACAAATGTTTAGTTTTAAGTAGTAATAGGAATAGGATTAGAAATAATAAAAATAGATTATAAATCAATTTTAAGCCAAACCCCGGAAATGTCCCTAATAGAGACGCTTTCACAAATCTGAAGATATACCTGAACCAATAGTGTCATGAAATCCTTAAACTCTGGACTTGCTATAAATACCTTGAAGATAGTTTCTATCACAGAACTTTGTTTAAAACCAAATGGCAACCTAGAACCAGAAAAATAATATTCTCCGCAAACTTGTCAGCTCAAAATAGGAAGCACATTCTTCCACCCTTAAAACGTAGACTTAAACTCTATGCTTATGCTGACGAATATACCTTGCTAGTATGGGTGACAAAAACACATACTTAACACGTAAGTATATTTAGCTATAAATTAGTCAGTCATCAGATCATCACATCTGCAAGATATACAAAACAAAATATAAGCTGCTCCTCGCCATCTGAACCCTCGAAAGGAACTTCCTTATGGTTGTTATCTTCCTTAAATTTGCCTGGAGGACTCTTGCCTGCAAACACCGGTTAACCTGTGTGAATATGGGGTGGTATAAGATTCGTCACACTTTCTTAGTTGACTTTTCCATTCAAATCGCTCTTTTTTGAAGGGACAAGGTTTACTTATTTGAACTAAACATGTTAAGTATAGCCAGTAAGCTTTTACTTATAAAGATCATTGCAAATTTGAAACTAACTCCACTTATATTGATAACATATTACCCCTAAATAGAAAATAAAACATTCAGAAGTATGTAATATTGGAGAAGTGGTATAATGCTTGTTAGATAAATTCTTTCTTTTTTTGTGCACTACTACCCATTTTTACACAAAAATATCTATTTTAGCACTTAAATATTTATTTTGAGATAACCTTTTATCCAAACTTATATGTAGTACATAGATAAAACCAGAAATAAAATAATAAAAAAGCTGTATACAAGATATCATAAAACAATGGATGAAATAAAAGAAGTTCTTATTAATCGGATTCTTAAATAAAACTTATGAAGACATATTCACGTTAACAAAATACATTAGGAAATTTCCGCATATTATGAAACAAAATCCAATTTGGTAATGAAATCCTTTTGTATCTATAAAGCTATTTTTAGAGAACTCGTACCTACCAAAAACAAGTAGTTAATAGTATAATTATCTGTTACACACTGTAACGCGTATGAATGATAACAAAACTAAGGAGTCCATATAAACCGTCCAGACTTTACGCGAGAATTATACATCTTATAGCAGAGTTGCCAAACTATCAGAGCTTACTTAAACCGATATACTTATGGTTCCAATATACAGTGAAAAAGATCTGAACGACCCCTATAATATATACACGTGAACTAAGCGATATACATTTATGATACAGGGATAATTATGGGCTCCAAATTTTTTTTAAAAATTATGAAACTATACATGTTGACGAATCGACAGAGCCAATATTATGGAATGGTCAAGTGAGCTCCGTATATCGGTGTCCACTTGACCACGGAGCTCACCTGAACCTGAATTTTAACATGGGCGGAGTCCACTTTATGCCGTATATATATATATATATATATATATATATATATATATATATATATATATATATATATATATATATATATATATATATATATATATATATATAAGGATCACTCAGACGAGTGGTGGGTTCTTATATCGGTCTCTAGGTGGAGAAATAAAAGACAAAGTTGATAGGCTACTTTATCTATTTTGAAGACGTTTCGCTTTCGAGTTTTGAAAGCATCATCAGTTCATCTAAAAAATTATTACAATATGAGAACCACACAATCATGGAAACGATGTTAATTGTTACCTTAAAAAGATATGATAAGGTAACAATTAACATCGTTTCCATGATTGTGTGGTTCTCATATTGTAATAAGTTTTTAGATGAACTGATGATGCTTTCAAAACTCGAAAGCGAAACGTCTTCAAAATAGATAAAGTAGCCTATCAACTTTGTCTTTTATTTCTCCACCTAGAGACCGATATAAGAACCCACCACTCGTCTGAGTGATCCTTATATATATATTGGATTGACGGTCGTACTCCTTTTTCCGATATATATATATATATATATATATATATATATATATATATATATATATATATATATATATATATATATATATATATATATATATTATAAACATTTTGATATTCTTACCTAAAGATTTCTTGTGAATTTCCATCATTTTTGGGAGTCAGTACATCTACAATCTCTTGTTTTATGGCAGGCGAGCTAAGTAAGTTAATACTTTCTGATTTTAGATCTTCACTGTCGAAAGTATATGTACCTTTTGTTGGAGACATTGATTCATCCTTTACAATTGTTGGAGATATTGGTGTCTCAGAAAACCCTAAGAAAATCTTTGGTTTTGTTGAGTCATTCATCGAAGTAGTAGGTGTACTAAAGGTTATTGTAGAAAACGTCATTTCGGGAGTTGTAGTATGATCTTCCTCTATAGTGTTGGTAACCATTACTGAAGATATCCCATTGGTATTACTGGAGATCACGGAAGTACTAGTAAAAGACATTTCCGAACATGTCGCAGACGCGGTAGGTGAAGATGTGGGCATTGCGCCTGCTGTGGTTGGTGTTGTTGATGCCAGCCCTAAGGGACTTCCTATTGATGAAATTGTGGGCGTTACCGTAGTAGCAGAAGGCGTTGGAGTTGATGCCGATGGCGGAGTAGCCACTAAGGCAGCGGATTCACTGATAGGTAGCTGAAGTTGATTTGAAGATGATTCAATTCTAGACGATGGCTGTACCACTGTTCTTGCTTGTTGCTCTCGTTGAAGACGGGTAGTGACACCTATAAATTATAAATAATTTTATTTCAAATCGCGCTTTGCCAGTGTGGTGTGTATGTGTGGAAGTGTTGGTTGGTAAACACTCCTGCCCATGGAGCTGCGCGAAGGCGGAGTCAAAATTCATGTAAAGACGGAAAGGTTCTATTGTAAGTGGAATTATATAGTGCACAGTACAATGCGTTTTGCATGGAAGTGGAGACTAAACCAAATTTCGTCTACTGCGCCGTGGTCAGAAGTGCTTGCACTATCTCTATGCGTGTGTGTATATGATATGTGCGTGTGAACGTGTTACTCTGCAGGTGTAGGTGTTACCGTAAGTGGGAGTGTCAGTGTGTACATGGTCGTGGGTAGAAGGGTGTGTGTATGAGTGCGAGGGCGTCTATGGGAATAGGCGTGTGTGTTTTTGTGACACGTAATTGTGTATGACACGTATTTGTATGTGACACGTATGTGTGGGTGGCCCGAGTGGGTGGCACGTATGTGTGTGTGACACGTATGTGTGTCTGAGTGTGCGTGCCTGTGCGATACGTGTGTGTGTGTAACAAGTGTGTATGTGTAACACATATGTGTAACACGTATGTGTGACACGTATGAGTGTGCGACACGTATTTGAGTGTATGACACGTAAGTGTGTATGACACGTCTGTGTGTGTATGACACGTCTATGTGTGTATGGCACGTCTGTGTGTGTGTATGATGTCTGTGAGTGAGAGTGTACGTGCGTGTGTGTATATTGCTTGTTAATCAATTTGGTTTAATTCCACTATAGGGTCGTTCTTCGGGAGAGGAGAGATGTTGTAATTATTAATAAGTTTTCTTTAATTCATTTGAGTCTGCGCGCCTTTCTTTTTCTGTTCTGTCAAGTGAACAATATATCACAGAACAGGTGAAGATGTTATCACGTTACACACGACGAGATGACTCTTAGATTTTGTATTGCTCATATATTGCGCTGTTAAGTAGTTTTTACTTTAGTTCTCTATTGTTGTGTAGTGGTTATAGTTAATAAAGGTATGCCTGATATCGAAAACCAGCATTTAATTATGGCAAGAAGTGTGGTCGCTATCTCTGTGTGATCAAACTTCGTCATCTCTCTTGGTAGAGTGTGTCGAAAAACTAAAAAAAAATCTACAAAAGCCGAACACTAGCTACCTTTAAACACCCTACTCCCCAAATCGCTATGAATTGTCTACTTCTACATGACCAAAACCATACATTTTATTACTAAAATGCATTAAAAAGGAATGGCCAAAACTTTTTATTTAAGTTAATATATTGTCATTAACTTACCCGTCGTCAAAATGTCAATAACAGAAGTATTGGAACCACTATTAATTTTCTGGGTAGTATTTCTAGAGCTTCTTGTCCGCTGCCTTGCTTTCCTAAATAACTGTTTGTAATTTTCGGTCTTTTTACTTAAATAATAGTACTGTACACAATCTGACACTGACTTTCTATCTAAATATGACGCTATAATTCCAAAATTTTTTGGATGCTGTAAATACTTTTCTTTAAAAAGTTCCTTTTCAGCTGTTGTCCAAACATTAAGAAACTTCCTACTCTTATAGACCTCTTCCATGTCATCCAGATACCCGTTATGGTTATCGTATCTAAGTTTCCTTTCGTTTTTGTCAATTAAAATTGGTGGTATTACAGCATAACTCCTCATTTTTTTGTCTTCTAGAGCCTGCTCTTGTAAATTGTCCATTATTTCTTCCATATCCGCCTCTGATTTTACTCGAGCTCCAACACGGTTGAACCTACAATTAACAGAAATTAATAAGAATTAAAGAAATCTATAACTTGAAAAGCTGGTCAAAATGGTGGCGTGCTAGAAAAACAAACTATGGTGCTAACGTTCATTTCATATAAAAAGACCCCTACAAAGAGTAACTACAAATTAAAATTAGCAGTAATCATAACTAGTATAAATGGCGTTATATTTTTACGACTGCTTGAAGGATAATAAATAGAAAACGTTAGAAAAATGTTAGAAGTTAAGACATTAAGCGCATCGAATAACCGTAATTGTTAATTTACGTACTAACTGTCTCACTGTTTGTCTGGTAGGATAACTACACCACCTAGGAAAGAAATCTGAACTACCAACTGATATTTCAATCTACTGAGTCAATCATATTTTGTTCTTGAAACGATACTTTTGATTAATAATTCTAATAATATAAATTATATATTAATATAATTAATAATACGACTAATTTTTTCGCAACATTGCCAAAAATATTGGTTGCTGTAATTTTAAGATAATTTTAATAAACAAATAATTTAAAGCTCTATGATATTTTAGATTTAAACACCTAACGCCACCTAGGAATGAAATCGAACTACCAACTGACATGAATAAACGTCGTACCAAACTACGTACCAAATAAAGAACCGAATAAGAAGTTATCTGGAAGATAAATTGTGTTTATTATGTTGTCAGTTATCGCGAACTCAAAAATATAACCTAAATAGTATTGTTTATTGTGGGTAAGAGACAAGGATCCGGCATTAGAAGATTTAATCAACTCGAAAAGTATGTTATTAATGTTTATAAGCTTAGTGCGAGATTTATTATTTGAGGCAGAATCGACCATTAGAAGTTTAGGTAAACCGACAGTGATCTATATTCTAAGATCTGTATTACCTCCTTTTTTTTTATTAGTTTAGGCATTCAATATTTTTATAATCTTGAGAACTAAAAAAAGTTTTAATGGAGATGGTTGTTCATTTTTGAAGAGTCACTAAACAATCCATGAATAAAATTTCTATACTGCATTCCATATTAGAACCAGATATGTAACAGGACTATTTATGTATGGAAAAGAAGGTTTAGGCACTATTTTATCCAATGGAAGTAGTTGTAAAGTTAAAAAGATTCAACCGTTCTAATACAGCAACATTCTATAATCTAGCGAGAGAACAAAATGTAGACAATTTTGAAGATGAATTACTAAATGAATATTATGATTATTACGATGATAATGATTATTAAACCTTTTAAGTTGTAAGATGTTTGAATGAACCTTATATAATATTTTAGTGTTATGGAGAAACCTCAAAAAAATCATTAATATACATGTAGTCCAGTCGTCAGAGAGTTGACCACTAAAATTCATATGAACAGCTGAATTTTGCCGAGAATATTAATTTTGGGACCCCAAAAAACATGCAAAAAAGTTTACCACTTCTAATCCCGGGCTTCCCCCTAAGCCCCCCTTGCAGGGGGGTGAAAATGCAAAAAATTGATTTACCAAGAATCTGCATACCGTAGAAAAACGTGTAAAAATAAAAAATGTAGCGTAAAAAAAATGAGATAATTCTAAACAAAAATGTTCCGTTCTAAAACTGTTCTCTTATAAACAACACAGCGATCGTCGATTTTGCATGTCAGTTACGCAAAATAAATGTTCAAAAAAATTTGTTCAGCTCGACGGTAAAAATTCGATATCTTTTGATTGAAATGTCCTATCGACAAAAATCAAGATGTGTTTTAAAGGCAAAGAGCGCAGCTTTCATATGCAGTTTTTGTATTTTGCCGAGAATAAACGAGTTTTTATAAAGGTGTTAAATAAATTAACGTGGCGCGATTTTTACCATTTTTTAAGATTCTTGTGAGATCAATAAAATTTATGACCATTTACTAATTTTAATTTTAATTTTAAATTTACTATTTTTAGAGATCAATTTTTAAAACCTTTGATATGAAATTTTAATTTTGAGTTGTGGTAACAAATATGAGGTATTTGTATAGTGTGAGGAAATATGAACAAAATACGCAGAATTTAATATTTTACATTACAAACTATAACACGTCACGAAAAATGCAATTAAGAAGACGGTTTTGGATGTAGTTTATTGCAGAAGTTTTGTTCATTCAAAAACCGTAGTAGTGTAATTAAAAAAAAAGCCCAGCGTTTTTTAAGCATATTTCAAATGCCTCACATTTGTTAATAAAACTCAAAACTAAAATTTGATGCTATAGATTTTAAAGGTTAGGCTTTAGTAATCAAAACTTCATAGTGATCAGTCAATGAAAGGGATAGGCGGTATTGATCTCGTGAGAATAATAAAAAATGGTAAAAATCGCGCCACGTTTAAATATTTAACACCTGTATAAAATCTGAGTTTATTTGTGGCAAAATACAAAACCTGCATACGAAAGCTGAACCCTTTACATGAACCAAAAGATATCGAATTTTTACCGTCGAGCTGATGCAAAATATATTCAACATTGATTTCGCGCGAGTTACAGTACAATGACCGCTACCATCTAGTAGATTCTACCACGTGGATTCCACACGAGACTAATAGGACTAAAAATCAATATTTTTAGTCTGATTTAATTTATTGCTGTTGCTACTAAAATCTTTGTAAGTCGAAAATACAAGTTTTAATTGTGAAGTTCAGTTTTTAAAAGTGTTTTTCCCAAGAACATTCATAATTGGCGCAGAGTCAGTACGGAAGTGAAAGAGTCTTTATATATCCTCGTCACTTTTAAGTGTTTGTCCACTGTTCCAAGAACCAGCCCCGGGGAAACCGCCTGCAGAGTTCACCCGAGGGAATTAGAAGATAGAAGCCTTCAGGAGGAATGAAATGCACATCGGCATCGTCTTTATCCTGTAAGCGATAATTTCCTACAAGATACATACGAAAATCAACCAACCGAACATGAAGAAAACGTAAATTTTTGAGAGGACCCACCAGAAGCAATCGGAACGTAATTGAACTCCATTCATTTCCCGACAAGAAGGAGCTACCCTACATTGAAATTTCTAAACCTTCTTTACGGCTTTTAATCGATACAGGATCCACAAAGTCATTTCTCAATCCAGAAATAGCTTCTTCATATTTTCCAAGTTACATAAAACATGAACCCTATGTCGTCACATCAATTTTCCAAAATTATTCCCAAAAATATTGTGCCGAAATTACTTCATTTTCAGAATTTAATTCTGACAGCAAAATGAAATTTTATCTCTTTAAGTTTCACAAAACTTTTGATGGTCTTATTGGCCTCGACAATCTAAAACTCTTCGAAGCTCAATTAAACTTTCCCAAGTCGCTTCTAATTACAAAAGATTCTACAATCCCAATTAAATATTACGAAACAAACAAAACACAATTTTATTCCATTCATTTGGAACCAAATTTTATTAGCCAAGTCAAAATTCCTGTCAAAGAAGGAACAGGAACCATCATTATTCCAACCCAAAAAGTGCAAGGCGTCGTAGTACGAGAAGCCCTTACTAACGCCGAGAACCACCTCGCCTGGACCGAAATTGCCAACTTCACGTCAGACCCCATTCATCTTTCTCTTATGGAATCACTCGAAAGCAACAAAATATGACATTCAAGATTTCCATATATATTCCATGGAAACAACCTCCGGGCCAGACTACAGACAAGATATCGACGACTTAATTAAAACCGAACATAATGAAAAAGAAGAGGAACAAGTTCGCCACCTATGCCGAAAATTCTCCGATATATTTCACCAACCAGACACTCCTCTCAGCTTTACTAACGAAGTTAAACATCACATCAGAACCAAGGATGAAGAGCCTGTATATACGAAATCGTACCGGTATCCGTATGTACACAAAGAAGAAGTAAAGAAACAAATCTCTTCAAGGTTAGAGCAAGGGATAATTCGACCAAGTCAATCGGCATGGTCTTCGCCCATTTGGGTCGTGGCAAAGAAACCAGATTCATCCGGTAAAATAAAGTGGAGGATAGTGGTAGATTATAGAAAGGTCAACAAGAAGACAATTGATGACCGATACAGAATTCCTCATATTAGCGATATTTTGGACAAATTGGGAAGATGTCAGTATTTTACGACCTTCGACTTAGCGAGCGGATTTCACCAAATCGAGATGGCTGAAGAAGACATTCCCAAAACAGCATTTAATGTTGAAAATGGACACAACGAATATTTAAGAATGCCATTTGGATTTAAGAATGCTCCGTCCACGTTCCAAAGCATGATGGACAACGTATTGAAAGGACTTCAAGGAGAAATATGCCTCGTCTATATGGGTGACGTAATAGTATATTCAGCATCACTACAGGAATACATAGTAAATCTCACAAAAGTATTTCAACGATTAAGAGAAGCCCGACTAAAAATCCAAGTCGACAAATGCGAATTCTTAAAAAAGCAAGTTAATTTTCTGGGACACGTAGTCACACAAGAAAGCATAAAACCGAATCCAGCAAAAATTAAAGCAATAGAAAAATATCCAATACCGAAAACAGCAAAAGAAATAAGAAGATTTCTTGGACTACTGGGATATTACAAAAAGTTTATTCGAGACTTCGCAAAAATCACAAAACTTCTTGCTTGAAAAAGGATGCAAAAATCGAACATACACCCGAATTCGTAGAATGCTTTGAAACGTGCATTAAATTATTAATGAATGAACCGTTATTGCAATATCCAGATTTTTCCAAACCGTTTAACCTCACAACAGATGCCAGCAACTTCGCTATTGGTGCAGTACTTTCCCAAGGACCAGTTGGCAGTGATAAACCAATTGCCTTTGCTTCCAGAACACTAAATGAAACCGAAACCAAATACTCCACAATAGAAAAGGAAATGTTAGCAGTGGTGTGGACAACTAAATATTTCCGACTCTACCTATTTGTAAGAAAATTTAAAATACTTTCAGATCACCGTCCTTTGCAATATCTATTTTCCCTAAAGGAACCCAACTCCAAACTAGTACGTTGGAGATTAAAATTAAAAGAATTT